TAGAGTCAGATGGTGACTATACAATGTATTAATTTTAGTTAGTTGGTTATGTATTTTTTAAATAAAAAAAAAATTTTAAATTTACTTACTTATAGTCAGAGTTAGAGGCAGTTGGATACTTATGATCGCTACTGTAAGTCTATTCCAAAAAATTTAAAAGAATATAGAGCTAAACACGCTTCCAGAACCTACAGTGGTAAAAAAACAACTTCTAAAAATCTTAAATGCCTTACAAGAATTGCATTAAGGTAAGAATCTGACTGCCTTGATGCAGGTGATAATTATGCTATAGGTGATACAGAATCAGAAGACTTCAGACCTGAAGGTGAGCATAACTCAGACCTGAAATCAAAGTTTACAGAAAATGATGAAATATTTGATATTATCAATATATATAACTACTAGTAATACGCCTTTAGCAAATTTTGCTAGATCTATCACCAATATGCATAATTTTATTTTTTGTTTAAAAATACAGCATACATTATTTATAGCATATACAAGTATTTTTATTATACCATTACTATTAGAACAGATTTTATATTATTTAATGATAGATAAATTTCTCTATCCTACTTTATTTATTGGCTGACTGTAATACAGATGCAGTATTCCTATTCTATAAAAATATGTTAAGCTAAAGGAAAATGACATATATCACTTTCAATTGAAAAATTTATAAAAATAATGTATAGAAGACAAAAGCTGATTTATAGCTCAAATCTAACCTATCTGGAAATTTCATATTACCACCTACTTTCAGATAAAAAATTTAATGGCATTGTGTGCTTATTTCTAAATATAATTTATTTAGATTTTAATTATAGTACAGAATTTAGTAACAAAATACTAAAATGAATAGCAGAATCATATCCCAATCTGAAGTATATTAATTTGTAAAAAGACAAATATATATTCTGTAATATAAGCATAATAACTGATGAAGATTTATATGCAATTGTTCTGTTATGACATAAATTAGAATATCTAAATATTTCTTACCACATAGATATTTGTGAACTATCAATTTGTAATATTATTCGTTCTTATTTAAAGCTCAAACAACTTGATCTTAGCTTTTGTAAAATTATTGATATAACTATTAAAAAAATTGCTAAATCATGTCTTAGTTTAAAATATCTTGATCTGAAGATGTTATAATATTAACATAAAAGCTGTAGATCAGCTTCTTTCACTTAATCCAAATATTCACGTTAAAAATTTTGAAGATACTAGAACATATTCTGACTTTATATTGAGTGATTTTTTAATTAGTGCTTTTTCTAGACATAGTGCCGTTTCTAATTAGAATTTGGTATTACATTAGATATACAGGTAACCTAATTTTAATACAATTGCGATAGTTTTAAATAATATACTAGCTGACTAATCTAACTAGTCTAGAGTAATGATCAGCAGGTTTACATTATTCAGTATATTATATTTCACATTTTTTTCGTTTAAAGATGAAAGAATACTAGCCAATCAAGTAAAATGCTAATATTATACTGATCTAACTAATCTAGATCAGTCACCAGCTCAGAAGATTTTTGCTGAGCCATGCATACAGTATCTTTGATCAGATTGTGTAACAAAAAAAATAAGTAAAACATCAGTCAGGTCTTATGCGACATATTAATTTTCACATATACTAAAAAGAAGCTATGCACACTATCAGTACTTTATTTTTTATTAAGTATAATTGATTTACAATATTAGCAAAATGTTTGATAAGGATATAGATACTGAGAAGGAGAAAGCTTTTGATGAATTTACCAAAGAATATGGATAAAGAGAAGAGGATTAGACTATTTATGATGATGATTAGCACTACTAGAATGACTTTTTTTGTGAAATTAAGACTTATTAAAATACAAAGGCAGTCAAGTATTAGAGAGAAAATATACTTAAGTGATTTGTATATAGTCTATTTAGTGTAAGTAATCCAACGTCATTATTTCATATACTCTTATAATCTAATATTATTTATCTTCTACAAATAATAAATCTAATAGAATTGTCATATTATCTACTTGAACTTCAATCAGAAATATGAGATTCCTCTAAGATCTGGTCAGATAGTATTTACTATACAAGTGGCAGTGAAATATCAGATTAATATTATGAAGTTAGCCATCAAAGAAATCCTGAATTACTTTATAATAGCGTGAAAAGGATGATTAGTGTCATTGTTAAATTATTAAAAGATCGTATTAGTGTAGATAATTTTCTGTTTAGCAAGAGAGCTAGGATCAAAAAATTTATCAAAAATTAATGTGTATCATGGACTAGGTCCTGAATATTTGTATTTATTTTTTGCATGTAATAATAAAAATTTTTTCTTGGCAAAACCATTCCCTTGAAAAACGATTAGCTAAAATAACCTATATATTTTACTTGACTGTTTTTATATATACTAATGAACTTTTGAATATTTTTATTTTTGTATAAAATTTATCGATGTTAACACTCAATTCAACAATTCATTTAGGGAATTAAATGCCAAACTCTTAGTTGAGATTGGCAAATTTAGGAAGAAGTTTACTGAGATTAAGGTCAAAAATGATGAGCTTAAGAATAAGAATACTGAGATCCCTGAACTTAGAAGGAAGTTTGCTAAAATTGAGACTGAGAGAACTAAACTTAAGATCAAGATTGCTGAACGTCTAAAATAGAGTGTGAAAGAAAATAAGAGGCGTGATTCTGAGAACACTAAGCTCAAGATCAGAATCGAAAAGTTGAAGAAAAATAAGGCAAATTCTTCAGCTGAGAATTTTAGACGTGATGTTGAGATTACTGAGATTAAGGTTGAAATAATGAAACTAAAAGACAATAATGAAGAAAACAAAGAGCTAACCTTTCTTTAATTAGATAATATTTCTAAGAAAATAGTTTCAGAAAATGTGCAGAACAATAATACTATAAATTCGAATACTAACATAATGAATTCAAATACTAGCAAAACACTTTTTAGCAATATTCAGGTATCTGATTCTGTAGTAAATCAGCTAAATAATGAAGTAGGATGAGCAGTTACCTCTGATGATACATTTAGTGATAATGCTAATACCAAGTCATTGAAAAATAAGAAAACAGATGATTTCTTGAATGAGATGCATAAGAAAAAGATTAGTGATGAGATTAGGGAGAAAAAGTGAGAGAAAAAACTTTATTGTGAATCGATTGCTCAGGATTCACTTATTTCTCGCAATATAAAAACCATTCTTTCAGAGAATGATCAAAGTCATGTGACTTTAAAAACTGAAGTATTTGTAGAGCAAAACGATGATATGATTCCAGAGGAATCATTTGATAAAAATCAAATTGTAGAATAAGACCTAATACATAAATGTTTAATTGAAGATGATATTCCAAATAGACAATTTATATCCTCTGAATTTAATGATTCAGAAATCGAATCAAACTATGAATATTTTAATATGAGTGCTGATTTTAGTGATATGTGGATTCTTCTTTAAATCTTCAAATATCAAGAAAGGTTTCGATTACTAGATGTAGCAATTAATTTCTTAATCAAATTTTTTCAGCAGGTTTTATTAGATGTCGATTCACTTTGTTTTGATAAACTTCTTTCAACTATTCACTCTGCTAGAAAGTTATTAGGAATTAAAAAGAAATCAAAAACTTATGCAGTATGTGATAGTTGTAACAAATTGTATAATATTGCAGAAATTATGTCATTAAAATGATTAAATAGCGATGATTCAGGATTCAAATGTAATCATATTGAGTTCTCAAAGCATCTGATGCAAAATCAATGTAAACTTTATGAGACGGAACTATTAATAAAGGTTCCAATAACAAATGGTATATCTGGTAGTCTAAAATAGTATATCCGTTACCTTGTTTAAAGACTCAATTAAGCAATATATATCAACGATCAGGGTTTGAAGAATTATTAAGAAAATAGACATATAGGAATATTGAAGCTGATATAATGTCAGATATTTACGATGGTGAGATATGGAAAAATTTTCAATCACACCCAAATACTTCAGATGCATCTACATTTTTTACACCTGAAGCTGCTGATTCTCATATAGGAATTATGATAAACCTAGACTGATTTCAACTGTTTGAGTCTTCAGTTTATAGCTGTAGTGTCATTTATGGTATTATATGCAATCTACTGTATGATGTTAAGTTCAAAAAGAAGAATGTTTTAACACTGATATATTACCAGGGCCAAATAAGGTTAAATTACATAAAATTAACCATTATCTCGCCTGATAATTGATGAGTTATTAGAATTTTGGAACAGTTATGATTTATTGATATCAGAAAAATATCCAGTTGGAAAAAAGATTAGGATAGCTGTAATTTATTATTCCAATGATATTCTGGTTGCAAGAAAATTATGTGACCATATATCAGCATTGGTTAGATATCATAGATGCTATAAACAGGCTAGTAGTAATAATGATAAAAGAGCAAATTTCAGTGGATTCGATAACATGGTAAATTGATTTAGAGGAAGAGATCTAGAAGAACATTATCAGAATGCCATGACCTAACTTTAATGTAGAACAAAGGATGAAAGAAAACAGCATATTTTCAATATCCATGTTCAATGATCAGAAATGCTCTGATTGCCATATTTTGATCTTATAAATTTCTGATAATTGATTCAATGCACTATTTATTCCTTGAGATTGCTCATTAGATTGTAAAAAAATTATGGATTGATGGTGAAAAACTCACAAAAGACTATCTTAAACTAATGAAAAATCGAGCAAAATGTATTAAGGTTCTGGCTGACTTAGGACGAGTTCCATATAAAATTGCGATCAGAGAGGGATTTTTTAATTTTACTACTGATCAATAAAAATCGTTTATACTTATATATACAACTCTATTAATGTGGAACTTGTTAGCAGAACCCGATCGAAAAATATTAGTCAATTTTATCACATCATATTATTTACTTGTATCATGTATTGTAAACAATAGTACATTAAATGAAGCACATACCTGGCTTTATCTGTTGCCCGTTTAATCGAAGAAAATTATGATCTAGAAGCAATAACTCTGAATATTCATCTTTCTCTTCATATTACTGCTTACTGTCAGGATTATGAACCTGTATATTTCTTCTGATGCTATTCGTTTGAGCGAATGAATGGAATTTTAGGTGAGTTATTATACTATTTGTTATTAACATTTCATTTATTATTTGATAGAAATATATAAAATCAAACACTATAATTCCATCCTATTTGATAGGATCGTTTCCAAATAGCTATCAATATATTGAGTCAGAATTATCACGTATAATGATGCAAAATTGGCAATTGGATAGTTTATTGTTTAATCAATTGAATAATTCTAAACTTGCTGAAGGGCTTAAATTATTGCAGTCTCGATCAACCACTGGTAGCCTAGCTGCTAAAGAATTATGTTAATTTATATCGATTTACAACCTTGAAATTGATGACATAATTATCAGTAATCAACGATTTTCTGGTGAGATGTTAACACTAAAAAAAACTAAGTAAACCTACTAAAAAATATTTACAATTTGTTAGTAAAATATTATAATAATGCATACAATGCAGAATTTGTTACTATTGTTGGGTCGATATTAAATGGTTCAAGAAGGTTTAGTCATCTGATTATTGTTCGACCTATGATTAATCAATTTGACTGTATCCGTATCAGCATTAAAATCTTCAGATCAGCTTTTGCACTGAGATATTTAAAGAATTCATTTAGTCTAGCTAAATTTATTCAAGATAATAAAACAATTGAAAAATTTCCCAGTCAGGTTCAGTTTTTCTTAGAACACAAAATCAAGATTATGGATAGTAAAACACTCACCTATTGGCATTTGTGAAGTGGTATCTGCCAGTTGCCGATCATCAAACAAGATTTTATTGTTGGGTCAGACAATGACGATCTTAGAAATTGTAACTTTGTGGTAGGCAAAAGAAAGACTACCAATTATATGGCAGTTATTCCGATTAACAGGCATTTTCATTTATAATAAAGCTATATATATCCAAATCGGTATATTATCATTGTTAAATATCAATCGGAAATTAAACAGATATTAATCGACATAAATCGGCATTGTTCAGATTGATATCTGATTTGTAGTAAATACTGATTGGTTCTTATTTTACATATTGAAACAAATATACTCTGACCGGTACAATTGCCGGTTGGATGGCATTTTACCTGTGTTATAAGGAGCTGAAAGACTAGAACTACTTTGAAAAATGGCATATATTTAGGGGATGGAAGCATGGTTATAAGGTTTGTGAAGAATGTGATCATCACTCACATCTGTATTGCAAAAGGTGTAAGAAGATGGTGGAAGGAATTTATAAGCGATGTGAATATCCGCAAGTAATTTGATCAATAAAGCAATAGTGCAAATTTACCAAACATTTTATAATTTTTTCACATGGAATAAGTGACGGGATTGTGTAAAGCAAAGTGTGTACTATTATTTTTTCGATCAAGTTTATTGTAGCTTGATAAATAAATACGCAGTAATATTATAGTAATTATTACATGTATCACAGGAACAAGTAATTGCGCAAAATAATTTATTCTCAAACTTTCTTACACATTCTCAAAATTATGTATAGCCTCTTGATGATCTTTACATATGGATTATGAATAGCGTTAAATTTTTTTATTGTTAAATTAAGGAGATCAGATTTTCGTGATGTATTCATATTAACATAATTTTCCCCAAAAGTATATTCCAAGATCGATCCTGCAAATTGTATAAAAGGTGATGTCTTGGCTAGTGAATCCTTTTATCTGCCTCATACAAGTAAAATAAAAATCAAGCAAAAAAAAAAAATTCAAATCAATCAAGCTATTAACAATCAAACGAACTTGCATTTTCCACAAAGTCATAATAAAGTAAGTTAGTTATTGCTCGGCTAGCTTCTTGAAACATGTCATCACAATGTTAATCGATTTTCCCGCCTCTATAGATGTTCCAAAATAAAACGGACATATGGGGTCTTTGCAATAGAAAGGGAGGAAACTCCAAAAAAATTAAAATTTTAGTTTATAAGCCAAAAATGT